CCAAATAAATGAACTTTACATGGACTAAGATAATAAATTTTACTTACTTGTTGATCTAAATGTGGTACATGAACATTCTGGGCTCAATCATAACTATAATGAGCAGTAGCATCAATACTGCAATATTGTGCTTTACCCTTTGAATAAATTTGATTAACTAATTTCCTTTGTTCTTCTGCTAACTTGGTGTTTTTATTGTAATAATTTCTTTCTAATTTGGCTTTAGACAGATGTTCTTTAAATTTTTTGAGCAAATCTTTAGCTTCTTCCTCTTGGTGAGCATTATAATGTAAACCATCTCTAAAATGTTGACAAGTATCACATAGATCAGTCCTTGGACTCATAATTTGAATCTCTGGTGTCAATTGATGTCATAATTTTCTGAAGGCATCATATCTTAAGGATTTCAATTTGTTATCTTCTTCTAAACCAGCCAGAAAATCTCTGTGTACTGATTTATAACTCATTTCTGCCGATAAAAATATAACTGATTGAGTTATTCTATTGATACTTCTGCCTGGACTTGGTAATCCATGAACTTCTGCATAATTTTCTAAAAAATTCTTTACAACTTTTGCAATGTTTTTATCAATCATCATCTTAGTTTTCCATTGAGGCATCCTTTTAATATTGCCATGAATTCTTGGCAGGAGACCATTGTTTATCAGATGATTTCTAATATTTTCAAAATAAGTCCTACCAATTCCCAACATATTGAGATAAGTTTCTTGACAAGGAGTGTATTGTGATTTCAATGATAGAAAGTTCTTTTATTAGATCTAGTTTTCTTCTTAAGGCGTCTGCTGGTGCTTATTGACCCACCATCCATTGCTTTTAACTGGGCCATTAAAAATATGTCCTGTTCAGACTTGGAAAGAGCTTGAAAGGATTCTCTTAATTCTGCAAATTGTTCACTGTGAATTCTTGAAGAACAGCCACATTTACAGCCTTTTTCTAAAAATCAATTGCTTTTTGATATTCAATAGATCCATTATATCTACTATTTTCATATACCTATAACCCTATATAAATAATTTTATGTTTATATATAGGTTTTTTTACAATAAGTAAGTTTTCTATTCAACCTTTTATTTATCTTTATTACAATATTTGGGATGATTACAAAGTTGATAAATTGCATCACCCATGTAATTATAATACCAGGATTGGAGATGGTGGGCAGAAATATTTTTTAAAAAAAAGTGGTTTTGGCTAATACTATGGTAACCCAACCCTTTGGAGCTGGTTACATGTTACATTTCAAAAATTGGTCACACTTGTTCATTTTATATCATTTTATTTGTTTTATAAAATATAAAATGTAAAATTATAAATAAGGTCTTATTTCTTTTAACAAATTGCATTTATAATCTACTATGGTTAATAGTACTATGACTTAAGAAAAGAAAAGAAAGATGTCAGCTACTACTATTTACTATTATTATCATTATATACAAGGGCTAAGAAGGAAAAATAGATTGATAAGAAAAAATATTTTAATTGAATTGGATTTACCAATTTTATTCAAATCATTCATTTTATTAATTTTATTTGAATTAATTCTATTTGATTTATTAGTTTTATTCAAATTATTAATTTTATTCAAATTACATATTAGCTTATTTAAAAATCTTACTAACTGATCCTGTGGTCTTAAATTTTGAATTAGATCTGACAATAAAATTTAACTAAGTTTATTTTTTTATTGTTCATAAAAGAAAATTATGAATTTTTAATAATATTTAATATTTCATGAATCTTACTTGTAATGCTGTAAATATAGTACATGCAATAAAAAGTCTTTTTAGAAGAATTAGATTTATCATCAAAAATATTGAGCATAACAACTAATAATGCTGCAGCAATTGGTAATGTTGTGCATGAAAATTAATTAAATTTTGGGGTGGGTTACAATATTCCAATTGGCTAATTTGA